GTAGCTGGACAGCAGCCCTGCACCATGCCCGCCAGGATTCACGTGTGACCTTACTGTTCTCCACAGAAGTGTCTGCTTCCGTTTTCACAAGTGTGTGCCCTTTGTAAATTTTGATGCGAATGGAAAGGCAGGGAGCCCGGAAAGAGTGAGGGCACCTCAGAGTGGGAGATGCAGGCTAGGGACCCAGTTCCTGTGCTGGGGAGCCCTGGGGCGAGAAGGGGAGAGGTCTGGAGCTGCACCTGCTCCCCGCTGAAGAAGTGGTAGCGGCGGCAGCTCTGATCACCAGAAGGATCACACTGGGGGAACTGAGGAGTGACGGTGGTGGCCGAGAGCCTGGGCTGGGAGCTGGGGGTGTTCTCAGCCTGCTCCCGGGAGGCGTGGCTTCCTTGTCTATGAAAATGAGGTGAAAAGCGACACGGGCAGGATGGGTCACTGGCGGAGACGTGGCTGAGCCCTGGTGGTGACACTGGAAGGACAGAGGCCTCCTGGCCATCTCTTGCTTGGGAGGGGTCCCCAGTACCCAGCCTCCCTCCCTCCTCGGTAGCGGATGCCCGGCACGTACCAGCCACCTGGCCATCCCGAGCGAACCTCGCCTTTCTCAGCTTCTTCACAGCTGTGTGTAGGCCCAGGACCAAGTTCTGGCCGAGAGGTGAACTGCGACGCCGCAGACAAGGGGAAGAGCCCCCCCCCAGGCTGTGCTCGCGGTCCCTTTCCGCTGGCTGGAATGCACAGGCACCGGCAGAGGTCAGGCGTGGTGGCACTTGCCTGTAGTCCCAGAACTCTAGGAGGCTGAGGAAGGAGGACCTAAAGTCTAAGCCCAGTCTGGGTAACTCAGTGACTTAGCAAGACCCTGTCTCAGCCTAAAAGAGAGTGGGGATGTAGCTCAGTGCAAAGCCCCTGGTTCAATTCCCAGTACTGGAAAAAAACCACAAAGCAATGGCTGGAGCACTAGCAGCCTTCTCAGGTCATGAGAAGGAAGCCTCACCTGGGGAGAGCAGGGGCAGGACAGGAGCTGGGCTCCTGGGGGAACCCTCGCCTGATCCCGATCGATGCGCTATGCGGCAGGGCAGTCCCTCCCCTCTCACCAGCCTGCCAGCCCACTGCTCCCACCCACGCCACCCTCATTCTGCCTCGCCCTTTGAGAGTCCCTGAGGCACTGTGGCCTTGGAGGCCATGGTTCCCTCCTAGCATAGTGCGCCTGCCGCTGCCCCAGGATTGTCATTAACACGAGGGCAGGGCCCCGTCTGAGTGTTTGCTGCGGTGGCCCCGGCAACCAGCTCATGGTCTGGGTAAGAGCAGGCGCCCAGTGATTTGGGAGAGTGAGGGTGGGTCTGGGCTGGTGCTGACCGAGATGCTCCCCGGCCCCTGCCCCAGCCCCTTTTGGCTCCACCCCATCCCTGCCTTGACACTGCCACTCCAAGCTGGGGTGACCCCAGGCCTTCTGCCTTGCCCCATGGGCTGACATAAAGACGCTGGAACTTCAATGTCTGCTGTGGGGAGGTGGGAAAGTCAGCTAATAGGCCCTCAGCGGGGCTCCCCATCCTCAGGGGCACTGGGAAAAGTCAAGGACTGAAGAGTACTGTCCTTCCGCCTGCCCTGGGTCCCCCATGGCCAATAGGAAGGGCCAGATAATCCCTAGTGCTGGGGCCAATGTGGGGCACCAGAAACACCACCCTACCCTGCTGGTGGGCTGGCAGTAGGACAACCACCTCGAGAGCCAGCAGCAGCACGCCCTCCAGCTGGAGGGCCCCAGCAATCCCACTACCCCCTGAGCCTAGAAGACGAGGAGATAACTGCGTCCACTAACAGGAGGGCAGTCACGGAATGGGACTCAGCATGGAGATAGACGCAGGATGCTGAGAGGGAGAGGTAACCTCAGGAGGTGGCCATGCGGGTCATCCACGGGGTCAGGTACAGTGCAATCCTGGACTGGAGGGTTCCTGGAGGTGGTGGTGTGTGCGTGGATGTAAAAGTCCATCTCTCTGTAAATTTAAGATTAGTGTGAGTACCATTTTCCCCCGTGGTACCAGGGATTGAACCCAGCCAGGGCCCTACATAAGCTAGACAAGCACTGTACCTCTGAGCTATACCCCAGAATTTTTGAAAATTTATTTATTTTTTGGGACAGGGTCTCACTAAATTGCCCAGGCTGGCCTCAAAATTTTGATCCTCCTCCCTCAGCCTCCTGAGCAGCTAGGAGAGTGATGGCAAAACTTTTAGAGCTTTCAATGATAACACACAGCCGGCTTGGGCACGTGTAACATAGGTTCCGCCACCACTGACAAGATAACAGGCATCGGCCACCGTGTCCAGCCCAAACTTTTAAGACTTTTTTATTTTGGTACTGGGGATCAAACTTGAGTCCTTGCGCTACTTTTAAGACTTTTTAAAATGAAGAGGCGGGTCTGTGGATGTAGTTCAGTTCAGTGGTGGGGCATTCGTCTGGCAGGAGCAAGGACCTGGGTTCAACTCTCAGCACTGAAAAAGAATAAAACAAAACAAACCAGGGCATCCTGGGAGGATGCAATCAGACCAGCACAGACAGACCTGGCTCCTTCCTGTCCCCTCCTTTTTCTCCTCTCCTTTTTTTTTTTTTTTCCACATCGGTATTGAACACAGGGCCTTTGTAATGAGCTGCATCCCACAGCCTTTTCTTGCTTTATTTTATTTTTCTTTTAAGACAAGTTCTAGCTCAGTTGTTCAAGCTGGATTCAAACAGGTGATCCTCTTGACTCAGCCTCCCAGAATGCTGGGATTACAGGTGTGTCCCACTGTGCTCACCGTCAAGGCTCAGTGCTCTGTCCCAGGGCCAAGCTCTTGTGCTCCTCTGGGCCATCTTCTGGCTGGGACCTTGACCAGGTTGCCCGTCTGCCCTCCCTGGCATGGCCGGGCTGCTCCAACAGCACAGGGCTCCTTCACAGCCTGAACCCCTGAGCCCGAGGCTGCTTCTCCTGCGCACCGGCTTCTGAGCCTCCCAGCTCCTCCCCAGGGCCACCCTCGTGGCAGAGCTGCCTGGGGAGCGTGCTGGGCACACGGGTGCTGCGGGACGTGGCTGGTGATGCTGGCCACATGTGACAGGGAAATGAGAGAAACTTCACTGTCCCCGAGGGGCATCCTGGCTCAGAACCCCATCCCCACAGGCAGCTCACGCCCTGCAAACCTCCCCAACCCAGGATGCTCATCCTAATGGTCAGGCTCATGTGTAGTCCTGCAGCCTGTAATTACCCAGGGCAAGATGAAGTGCGAAGCCCTCTCCTCCCTCCCTTCTCCAGCCTGCCAGGAGGGGAATCAAAGCAGGTGTGTGTGTGTGTGTGTGCCAGGGTCCTCGGACCTCTCCCGGAAGAGGCCAGCTGTGCACACAGCCTCCGAGCCCCTAATGTCACCTGCTCACCCCTGGCCTTTCCCCACTTTGTTCACCTCCTAATTCTGCCTGCCCCTTCAAAGCTACCTCAGGTGCCACCTCCTTCGCTTGTTCCCGTTCTGCAGTCTCCCCTTTGACCACCTCGTCTTGGACTTGGCATGGCCACTCTGCTGGACCATAAACTTCTCCAAGCCCAGACAGGATCCTGCCCTCCCTGAGCCCCCAGGTGCGGGAAGGCCTCCCCCACAGCCGTGGGGAGTGAATAATGCCCCCAACTGGAAGAAGCCCTTAGTTCAGACTTATGCAGAGAAACTCATTGTGCTGAGACAGAAAGCACCTAAGGAAAGTGGGGATATCCAGGAGGGCCCCAGGAAGAGGGTGCAGCATCCCGCTTTGCGATCCCACACTCAGCCGTATCTTCCCGTTGCAGAACTCTCCTGGGAAACCCTCTCGGTGCTGGGGGTGGGGTCTGCAGTCCTGCAGGAGGAAGGGGCTCAGCCTGGCTCCACCCACCCATAGGGAGCCCCCTTTACATAGGGTGCAGGTTGGCTCCACCTACACTGCATGTCACCAACCAGGAAACAGAAAACCAGCTCGCTTCCCCAGATGCTTCTGTTCACACTTCAGAACAGGTGCTGCACCCGCCCTGCCCGCTCCTTTGGGCCCAGAGGCTGACTGCAGGGAGGGCATCGCGGGCTTCCTTGGCCCCTGTCATCTGCCTAGATTCAGCCGCAGGGGAGTCCCAGAAGGCAAGAGAGAAGTGAGGCCCGTGGACGTCACCAGGCTTCTCCCTGCCAGGTCACAGTATCCCCTCTCCAAGGTCACAGTTCCCAAAGGGGCCTCTTCCTCGGCTGCAGCTGCCCTTCAGATCTGGGGTGGTGGCAGTGTCCCTCTGTCGCTGGCCCTGGGTACTGCACATCTCTCCTCTAATTCATATATTTTCCATTTATTTCACTCGCCTCAAATGCCCCGTCTGAGGGTGCCATAAAAATGTAAGCTCGTGTCAACTGCCCATATCAAAAACATTCTTGTATGTTCCACTTGGAGTCGTTGGGAGGGGAGACTAATGAAAACGAGGGGAGCCGGCCCTCCAGCCTCCGCAGGGGCCACTGCTGTTGGCGTCCCCAGGGCACCAGAGGAGGAGGTGGCAAAGACGGGCTACATCCATGAATAACCCGATGCCTCCACGCCCAACACCCGGACGCCTCTTCCTTCCACCCTGCCGCTTCAGCCTCCCGGCCAAAACCAGGAGGCTCCGCTTGCTTCGTCGGGGACAGCAGCCACGCCGACCCGCCGTCTCCAGGCCAGGGGCACGGAGCTCCCGGGCGCTTGCGCTCGGAAGCCTCGGCGCCGCCCTCGGGGCCCTGGGGCTGCAGGGACGCGGACGGCGGCGCGAAGGTCCGGGCAGCGAGTCCCGAGAGTCCCGGTTCGTCCCCGCGCGCGCGCTGCCGCAGCCGAGGGCCGCGCCCCGCCCCTGCGCTAGCAGCGGTGCCGCCCCACGTGGGGCCTCAGGGCTCGCGGCCCGGGTGAGTGATTGGTCGCCATGGAGCCAATCAGAGGGTTCGGTTCGTGGCGGCAGCGGCGATTGGCCAGAGCTCGCCGGCGGGGCGGGGGCGGGGTGCCCTTTTGTTCTCGGCGCTCTCGCCCTGCGCCCACCCGGGCCGGGGTCCACCTGTTCGCCCCTCCTGGACCGTAGGCCTGGTCACACACTCGAGCCAGGGCCAGCGGCTCGCAGGGGTGACCTTGGACGAACCCTTGCATTCTCTGTCCCCAGTTCCCTTGCCCTGGTTTCTCCCTGTCTCCCGGAAACTGGGGCGAGGAGGAGCTAGCGAACGGTCTGGGGGTCTTTCTAGCACCTAGTATTCAGCAAGAGCAGGGTTCTGGGTTTTCCCCTGAGAGGGGCACGTGGGAGATTACCCAGCAGGAGAGACCCCGATCCCAGGCTTCAGGGTGAGCTCGTTCACCGCCTGAGGCTTCTTCCCCTGATGAGACGGGTGGGAATGGGCCAGAGCCCTCCTGCCTGACCAGCTGTGCAAACGCTCCCTGAATCATCCCTCTTCAATCGCTCTTTCAGTCAGTGGCAGTGGCCTCCCTCTGGGTGGCAAGTGGTGGCCCCACGAGCCAGGGGCCCTCCCAAGGAGAGGGCTTTGGGCTGGACTGGGAGTCAGGGGTTAGGTCTGAGGCTCCTGACCTCAGAGCTCACCATCTTCCCTGCAAGCTTCCTGAGAGCCCTTCCCAGCTGGACTGAGGCCCTCCTGGCGCCTGCTGCAGAGAGCCCAGTGCTGGTGGGTATGGATACAGGCACCGGGTTCCCCATCAGGTTCCTGCAGGCCCTGGGAATCCTTGCTCCCTCTCCGAAACATGGACTGACCTGAGAAAGCCCCCAAGCCCAGGGTGGTGAAGAGGCAGCCTGATCAGCAGCCCAGGGCCTGGGATGGCAGCTTGGCCAAAATGAAGGTCATATCCAAGTCACCTTCCAGACCCGGGAGCCTAAAAGAAGCTCATCCCCAGAGCAAGCCAGGTTTGGAGCTCATCTGCAACCTGGAGGCCTCTCTGAGCCTCCACCCTGGTGCTCAGCAACCCACTCCAGCTCCTTGAAAACAGTAGGGGTCCAGGCCTCCCCCACACCCTGGCACTGTGGCCCCTGGAAAGACTCCCAGCCCCAGGGCCTCAGCAGATGTTTTGGGGACCCCAGGGATGAGTGCCGGGAGGCTGGCATCTGCAGTGTTTTTACTGTTGAACAAACTGAACCAATTATATAGGCCCCGTTGGGGTGTCTGGGACAGGGAGGAAGAGGAGGCAGAGCTGGGGGCAGCATAGCCTGGTCCCTGAGCCTGTTGCCTGTTCCATGAGGACTCAGACACACTCCTTTCCTCCGCTCTGGGGCAGGAGACCCTCTGTGCTGACAAGAAGGAAGGCTAGTGACTGGAGGTGGCTGGCATGGGCGAAAACGGAGGAGGAGGCTGATGTCTGCCACCCCGACACACACTCTGGTCAGTTCCGTCCAAGGGGCAAGCACCTCTGGGTTTCTCAGCCTCCTGCCCTTTAACCCCTTGGGGCACTAGAACTCCCAAAACACCAGAGCCTCCTTCCAAAGGCATCTTATGGCTGTCGCAAGGAGGCCTCCGGAAGCTGGGAGGATCTGTCCCATGAGAGGAGGCGACCTGGGGAGTCTAGAGGAGGCAGTGGAGGAACAGGAAGTAGATTACAGGGATGATAGCCAGGGCCCAGGTCACCCACCTGGAGGGGAAGTCTCGCCATCGGGCAGACAAGAATGATTTAGCTGCTGACTGCTCTGTGACCCAGCTGGCTGGGGATGGCCATTGTCTGGGAGCCCAAGCAGCTGCACTATGTCCCTCCTCCCCCAGGCGCCACAGACGGCAAGGCCACTTTCTCAAACATCTTCCAAAGATTGGGCCAGGGCGTCTCCCCACACTCAGGGAGAGCAGAGCTTGTGAGGAGCAGGGGGAGCTGCCCACACACTGCCACTGAGAGTTGGCCACCAGAGTGCCTTCGCTCAGTAACATGCCAGGGTGTGCTCAGCCTTACCCAGAACAGCCAGACCACGTCTGTAACCATTCCTGGGGGCACCCGTGGGCAAGTTCCCAAAGACAGAGTGACCAGCAGGAACCTTCGCCGTCAGTCCTCAGGAGCCCTACCCAGGAGGCAGAATGGCCACTGGCCTTGATTGAGGTCAGGGCTGGCTCGGGGTCTGGGAACAAGCTGGGGCTGGAGAGCACAGCAGTCTGCCACTGGGAATGGGCATGGAAGAGCAGCTGCAGGTGCCCTACTGGTGGCCTCAGCCCTTAGTGGGTGCTGACCTCTTTCCCAGCCCCCAGGGATCTCCTGCAGAAGTGCAAAGAGGCCTGGAGAGAGTGACAGTGACCACGAGGACCCACCAGCCCCGCCTTTGGATAGAGTGTTAAGGTGAACAGGGTGGGGACGGAACACTGGAGGGGTGCTGTGTGCCCGGGCTGCCCCTAGACACCTGCAGGATGCAATCAGTCCATCTTGCCCATGGCTCCGGCTGCCCACAGAGAAGCTGGTCACCAAAACGGTCCACAGGTAGGCACGGAGGACTAGGACAAATGAACGGTGCTTATTTAGTCCACTGGACCTGCTCCATTTTCACTTCTACAGCCTTCCGCCCTGTCCCTCGGCTTAAAATGCTAGTGTGAACCAGAAGATCAACCTCAGTGCCCACCAAGGGGGTCCTCCCCCGGGAGCGGTGTCGGGTAGGAGCGGTGCAGCGGCGCCCTCCAGCGGCCATGTCTGGGACGGCGGCCTCTCAGGGCCCTGAGCTGGGGCAGAGGATGACGAAGGGAGGTCGGATGGTCTTGCAGGCCGGCCTTGGGACGCCCTGTGCTCCGGGTTGCATCGCAAGCAACTCGGGAACGAAAAAGGGCGCTACTCTGGTCTCCACTATAGTTCCGAAATGGTGGGACGGGCCAGGGTTACCTGGGCAGTTTGGAAGGCGCGGGGGCAGTGTCGCGTTAGGAGCAGCAGACAGGAGTGGGTCTGGTTCTGTCCTCATCGCCGGCAGATGTGTGTCCCAACTTCCAAGGGAGGCCTCCAGCCTGCAGCCTGCCTGTGCAACGGGCACACACCTCCGAGGCCCTGCTGCCCTTTCTCTTGGAGGCAAGCAGCCCCTGGCCCACCCAGAAGTACTCAAGGCTTCCGGGAACTGGTTTTTCCCACACCGGACGAGCTTCCTGCACGATGGCTGGAGTTTGTAACAGCTGTGTTGAGTTGTAACACACACCATGAAATGCACTCATTTAAAGCGGACGATTCAGTGGTCTGGGGATATTGGCTTCTTTTTTTTTTTTTGTACCGGGGATCGAACTCGGGTCTTTACGCTTGTGTAGCAGGCAGCGAAACCACTGAGCTAAAGCCCCAGCCCTATATTTATTGCCTTCTTTTTAAAATTGTGGCGATGGGGCCCGGGGCTTTAGCTCAGTGGTTTTGCCACCTGCTGCACAAGCGCAAGGACCCGAGTTCGATCCCCGGTACAAATAAAGAAAGAAAGAAATAATAAAATTGTGGTGCAATACATGTATAGAAATTTGCCATTTTAACCACTTTGAAGTGCATAATCCAGGGGCATCGAGTGCATGTGTGGTGCCGTGTAGTCCTCACCCCCACCCATCCGCAGGACTCTGCCTCACCTCAGGGCCTCTGCTCTGGGGCAACGACTTCCCATTCCTTCTCCCCCCAGCTGCCAGCAACCTCTAATCCACTTTTTTGTACTGGGTTTTGAACCCAGGGCCTTCATACTGAACTACATCCCCGGCAGTTTATGTTTTTCACTTCGCAGCAAGGGCTCTCTAAATTGCTAGGTCCCCCAGGCCCCTGGCGCCCGGGGCCGCTCTGCCTCAGGGGTAACCAGTGTGCACCGCCATGCCTAGCTTCGATCCGCTTCTGTGACATCTCCTATCCCAGGAGCTTCGCGGAAGCGGAATTAGGCAGTGCTTGTCCTTTGTGCCTGGCTTTACTCAGTATGGCGTCTCCAAAGCCCTCGTGTTCCACGTGTGTCAGAACGTCCCTGCATGCTAAAGCGGTCTCACGGTATGCACATTCTGTGTTTGTTTATTTCTCTGCGGCAGACGAGTGGGTCGCTCCCCCCTGTTTGCTGCTAGGAGTAATGCTGCTGTCAGCACTGGGAAAACCAGGCTCCATGGCGCTGATGGAGACCATGGATTAAAACTGCTGTCGTGCTGCTGGACACTTCCACTTTCGTTGTCACACAGCTTTAACTTTTTTTTTCCGGTACCGGGGATCGAACTGAAGATCATCATGCACCTACACGGCAGGCATGGCGCCACTGAACCAAATCCTCAGTCATACAGCTTTAATTTTAAACCAGTAATGTTTTCATTACCAACAACATATTCACTGAAGTAACATGAATTAGAAAATATGGAGAAGTGACCACTAATTTTGGTAACCTGGAAGGTGGGAGGGTACTGGAGATTGAACCCAGGGCCTTTGCACTGAGCTACATCCCCAGCCCTTTTTTATATTTTATTTTGAGACGGGTCTCGCTAAGTCGCCCAGGCTGGGATCGAATTGTCCATCCTCCCGCCTCAGCCTCCCGCAGTGCTGGAATGGCAGCCGTGCGTCATCGCATCTCTCGAGCCACATTGTTTTTTCCAAGCGTGAACTGGCTTGCTTTTCGGACCAGCAGTGGGGTGAGGGGAGAACTGAGAAGCCAGGGATGTCAGGGGATGCCGCGAGGCGCTCAGGGCAGGCCGAGACCAGGGGCGGAGGGGACCCACGTGGGCGCGGCGGTCCTCGTCAGGGCCTGTCTCGGCGACCGCGGGCTCACGAGACCCGCTCACCCTGAGGGTCCGGCCCTTTTCAGAGTGGCCGCGAGGACCCGGCGCGCGCCGCCTGCCCGCCCTCAGAACTCGCGCCAGCAGCCGTGCGCCTATTGGCCGAGAGCAGGCCGTTCGGGCCAATCACGGGGCGGCGGCGGACCGCCCAATGAGACCGCGGCAGGCGGGGGAGGGGCGTGCCCGCTGGGCCCGGAAACGCCCCACTCGCCCCGGTCGAGGTCCGAGCTACCGGTGCTGTCCCAGCCCCGGGTCCCCGGTTCCGCCCGCCGCCCGTCCCGGTCAGCTCCTGCACCTGACGCCGGGGGAGGCCCCGTCGCGCTCCCCAAGGTCCCGCAGCCCTGACCAGCTGGACCGCTTTGTTGGCCGCAGTGTGGCTTCAGTGCAGACAGCGCGCAGACTACGAGGCCCCGCCGGCAGGGTGCGCGACGGCGACGCCTCCGACCGCCCCTCCGCCGGGACGACGACCACACGCCTCCGAAGGCCCTGGGACCGCCGGGCCCCACGCCAGGATTTCGCCCCCGTCTCTGAGGGGTGCTCAGGCTCCTCGGCCGTCTCGCGGGGTGGCTAAGGACCTCCTGGCCGCCCCCGATGTCCGGGGCGGGCTCTGCGTGTGACCTGAGTCCCCTAGGCAGCTGCGCTCAGGCCTCTGGGAAGGAGGGCGCCACCCTGCGGCCCCTGCGGCCCCTGCTCCTCACCCGTGTGCTGCCCCTCCTGTGACCAGAGGACAGCAGGGACCCGGCCCGGCAGGGCCGCTGCTCCTATCAGCCGAAGGAGAGGCCGCCCCTGTGGTCCACCACCCTCTGCCCATTCCGGCTGGGGCCTCACGGGGCTGTTACACCGTCACTGGCCTGAACCTTGTCTGAGAGCCTGTGGACAGGTGGGTCAGAAACTCCCAGGCCTAGGGCCCAGGATGTAGCTCAGCAGCACCGCACCTGCCTGGCAAGCTCATGGTCCTGAGTTCGATTCCCGGTACCAAAAAAATGAAACCCCCAGCCCTGGAAGGGGGCCAGAGGCAGGCAGACCATGAGCCTGAGCCTGTGGACCCAGTGCTGGGCTGCAGCTTGTAGCTCTCCAGAGACAGCAGGCCTGCTCACCTCTGGGCACTGCTGTGCTGGAGAATGACAGCCTGCCCACCCAGCACCTGGACAGGACACCTGGGAACCCACGACCCCCACCCGAGCTGACCTCCTCCCTGGGCTGTACTCACCCCATTGTCCTCGAGGGTGGCTCGTGGATATGCCTTGCTCCACTCACCCCAGGGCTTTTGCACTGCCTGTGCTCCCATCTCTAAATCTTTGCTCAAGTATTGTCTTCACAGAGAACCTTCCCCTTTCCCTAGCACACTTTCGAACCCCCCCATCCTGCTGTCCTCTCTCTGGACCAGTCCCCCTCTTTGGTCTCCCAACTAGGTGCCTCTTCCTCAGTACACAGGTGACTTGTATACAACAGTCTGTTTCCTTTAGCTAGGTTCTTAATCCTTTCTCCCTTTTGTCTTCCCTGGTGTGTCACACGTGGCTCTGATAAGGCTCTCCAGATATTTGCTGACAGTGCCAGGCACGATGGCCCATAACTGTAATCCCAGCACTCTAGGAGGCTGAGACAGGAGGATTGCAATTTCAAGCCCAGCCTGAGCAGTAAGTGACTTAGCAAGAGCCTGTCTCAAAGGAGAAAATAAAGAGGGGTGAGGATGCAGCTCACTGTGAAGGCCCTTGGTTCAGTCCCTAGTGCTGAAAAATAAATGCTGACAACACAGCAGTAGATACAAATCAATTTTAAGATTTGACCTGAACATGTAGGTGACCTCTCAGGCCAGGGTCACTGCCAGCCCACACTAGGGCAGACCCGTGGGTGGCACTTCCATCGCTGACAGCACAGGGTCCTCATTCTTCAGCAGGGCCACCAGAGCCTCAGTTCCAAACAGACAAGGACACACATTTCATGGTCCCCCCCAAAGAAAATACTGCACCAGCCCTCCAAGACCAGAGCAGTGAACATTCCAGTGGCCTCAAGGTGTCATTTTTCACCTGCCGAACCAAGGAACATTCAACAGGGTGCCGATGCCAGTTGTTGGTGGGGGTGCTAAGAAGGTGCCCGAGGAGAGGGCACCATCCCCCTCTGGGCCGCCCTGAACTTCTGCTACAGGAGTAGTGAGAACATGGCCAGCGCCCTGCTCACCCTCCCAGGCCGGGCTAGGACTCAGACTGCGGCTCAGGCCAGGTGCTCTGGCCAGGGCTGGCCCCGTGAGATGCCAGGGCCGGAGTGGCCACCGGCTCCTGCCTGCTGTGCCTTCTTGCCCGTCTGCCCTGCCCACTGCAGTTAGTACCTGATGTTCTGAGACACAGCTGGGAGGAGCCTGGCTGGCAGGGGTGCCAAGTTGGGGCGGGCACCTGGACTCCAGCCTCTGAGGAGGGGCCCGCAGGCACCGTGCGCTCAGAAGCAGGCAGAAGCCAAGGGAGCCAGGGATGCATAGTAACCATCCCAGACATCTCAGCTCCATCTGCTGCTGGCCCCAGCCCTCCGTGTTGCTGCCTGGTGGTTTTCATATTGATGCATTTCATTTATCTCTAAAAATGAGCAAGATTATTTATTTGATTTCCTTGGAGGCTGTGTGAGGCAGGGAACTGACAAATGATCCCCTAATCTCTAAATGTCACAGGGGCCCCAAGCCGAGCTGCAGGCTGACGTCCCTGGCCCCAGGCAGTCTTGCACTGGCTCACTTGCTGCGGTCCTGTCGGTTCGGGAGGCCCCTTGTGTCCACTTCCATGCCATGACTTATGTTGACAGTGCTGGCCCTGCTCATTCCTTTGTCTCACGAAGACAGGCAAGATCTGAGAGCATCACAGAAAAAGATTTCTTTGCAGCAAATATGAGTATTCTGAGCAAAAGGAAATTGGGGGAAAGCATTCAATTCTTTATCTACACTGGAAGCCATCTGAGTTCATGGGGCCCAACAGGAAGGGGTCCCAAAGAGCCACATTCTGTTTCCTGAGTATGACCCTCACTCTGCTTGAGTAGGACTGAGGCATCTGGGTAACGAAACTGGCTAATAAGAGGTTAAAGCAAGCTACCCAGGCAGGCAGCCTGCAGAGAAATAGACTGGCTACCACGTAGGGTGCACAGCCTCTTGTGCCCATGCCCTGGGGCATTCCCTCCTGATGGCCAGGGCAGGCCTGTGGGGCTGGCAGAGCAGGGCAGAGGTGGTGTCTCTTCTAAGATTAGGTTCTAGAAGATACTGGAGCTTCTGTTTGAAAGTCTCTCTTGTTTCCCTTCCCCCTGTCTGTGGCCTTGGGAAAGCTTGGCAGTGGATCCTCCAGCCCTGATCTCTGCAGATGCTGCAGTCCCAGTGCCAACCTAACCACAGCCTCATGGGAGGCCCAGGTGTATTGGTCAGCTTTCCCTTCCCTGGACAACCAACACCTGATCCCACAACATAAAGGAGAAGTTTACTTTGGCTCAGGGATTCTGGAAGTTCAGACCATGGTCAGCTGGCTCCCTGGCAGGACCATCATGGGGAAGGGCGTGGTGGAACAAAGCTACCTAGTCCATGGTGGCAGTGAAGCAGAGCATGGAAACAATGCCGGAGAGGAAGGGGTGAGGGACCAGATACATCCCAAGGTCGCATCTCCAGGACCCTCCCAGACACACCCCAGATGTGCTCCCCCCGAACCCTGGGGTTTTCTAATCCAATCAAGGTGACACATCACAGCTGATAGCTGCACCAGCTAAGCCACTTGCCTACCCCAGGCACCGTGTGTGAGATGACAAGTGTTTGTTTTAACCCACCAAGGTGTGGGGTCATTTGCTGCAAGCAGTGAAGAGCCAAAAGGCTGTTGGTATTAGTCTGTCGTGACCACAGTGCAATACCTGAGGCAGGCTCATTTTATAAAGAAAATTTCAACTTAGCTCACGGTTCTGGAGGTGCAAGGGTGGGGCACTGGCAAATGCTCAGCTCCGGCGCGGTCCTCGTGTCACATCATAGCAGGAGTGTCAGGGAGAGGTCACGTGGCCCAGCAGGAGCCAGGGAGGCCCGGGTCTCAGAATTCCTTCATAGCACCCACTTCCACTAGGCGAGCCTCCTCCCACCCCACATGGAGGACCACAGCCCACCTAAGGACAGCTGGATGCAGCCGTGCACCCGACAGGAGCTGGTTATAAAAACCAGGCAGAGGGTGGAAGAGGAAACTCCACAGCTACAGGGCTTTCTTTTGCTGTGCGGGGTCAGGCCGTGGGGTGGACCCCCCACATCTCCCCAGCCCCAGCCTCGGCAGGTTCTCGACCCCAAGGGCTGCTGACTGGCACTGTCGCCGGCTCGCGCAGAGGTCCGCCGCCCTGTCTTCTCGCGGTCCACCGCATGGCGTGCTTGTTCCTCCTGCTGTCCGGAGAACTCGGGGCCTCCTGGGCACCCCAGGATGGTTCCGCCCGCGTGGGCACTTCCTCCAACACGCAGCAGGCGGTAACCAGGGCTCAGGGATCTGCCCACCCCCTGGGGCTACCCACAGACCCAGCACCGCCTGGCGCACCGTGGAGCTCCGCGCGTAACACGCTCCCCTCCCCGCTGAGGGCACCCAGGCCTCTGTGGTCTCAGCTCCCGAGCAGAAAGTGGGGGCGTGACAAAGGCTGTCTCACTGCCCCTGGGATGAGAGCCCCACCGCACAGACCGGGAAAACCTGGCCCAGCCAGGACGAGGCGGAGCCAGGATTCACAGCCTCGCGTTTGATGCTCCCCGAAAGTAAGCACCTGCCTGCTGGGGCTCCACGCCCGCCACCGCCCACCTTAGCTCAGAAGCCCCAGCCTGAGAAGCCAATCGCATCCGTGCTGCCGCCCTTGCAGCGTGGTTCGCCAGGCAAGCCAGGCTTTAGCCAATGAGAACACAGTTCTCCTGACCGCAGCTCTGCCGGGTGCTCAGGGCCTCGGGTTGCTCTGAGCAGCGGGGGAAAGGTGCTGTTCGGGGCCGTGGCCGTTGCGAGGGGAGCCAGCGCGAGCCCAGAGCGGATGGCTGGGGAGGGCAGAGGTGAGGAAACTGGAGAGAAACCCACCTTGAGCCCTGGACTGGAGACGTGGCTCAGTGGTAGACAGAGAGTGTGCACTGGGCCCTGGGTTCTCCAGCACTAGAACAAAATCAAAGTGGAGCCCAGATCAAACCGCGTCCCAGCCCGCTGCGTGTTAGCAAGACCAGGCCCCCCCACGTGACTCGCGGCGGTGACCGGAAAGGTCCAGCGACCTTAGGACCAGGAGCTGTTGTAGTGAGGGCTTCGGCCGCAGACAGCCCTGGTGGAGTGCCAGGGCAACGCCCCGCTGGGTACCCGGGGTGCAGGGTTCCCACTTCTTGGGCTCCTGCCTGCCTTGAGAAGGGCTCTCAGGGTCCCCGGGGCCTCAGTGGGCTGCTGACCTGTCCCTGAAACTGCCTTCCCTCCCCGCCCCCGGGGTTGGGTGCTGAACCCCGTGTGATGTAAGAGTGGAAACAGCTGAGCCTGCTCAGTCACTGCATGGCTCGTTCTTGGCCTCACCTGCAGAGGCGTGTCCAGTGCACCCAATGCAAATGGCACAAAACCCCAGTACCAGGAGATTCTAGTCCTGGGACCTATTGTTTTCAGAGAACCAGATCTCCCGAGGTGGGGACTGTCCCAGTCAAGGGCCTAGGTGCTTTCATCTTTCTGCTGCGACATCCCTAGCCCTAGAGGGCTTCTGTCCTCCTGGTTTGCAGGGTGGCTGCTGGAACTCCGGACATCACATACACCTCCACAGTCACAGCACACAGGACAAAGAGGCTGCTCCTGTCTCAAACCACTTGATGCCCTTGACCCTGGGACTTGGCCAGCAAGAAGGTATCACCAGAAGTGGCCCCAAGGCCTTGGACCAGAACTATGAAGCAAAATAAACCTGTTTACTACTACTACAGAGAGAGAGAGAGAGGGAGAGAGAGAGAGGTGAGGAGAGGGAGAAGAAACAAAGGAACATGGCTGGGCACATCTGCCTCCCTTTATGGGGAAAGAAAGACCCAGAAGCCAGGGAGGAAGATCCCCCAGCCCAACTGCCCACCCATGCTATGAGGAGTCTGGTAGCTTTAGCCAGCCTCAGTCTGTTCCTTTCAGCATGGAAGACCCAGCAAAAGTAGAGTCCTGAGGCCGGCACAGTGGCACACACAGCACTCCGGAGGCTGAGGCAGGAGGATCACTGTGAGTTTGAGGCCAGCCTGGGCTTCACAGTCAGACCCTGTCTCAAAAAAAAAGTTGGGAGACTCGACGTTGATTGGATATCAGTTATCTCATATTGAGTTGTAGATTTAATGTAATCCTAATCAAAATCCCAGGACACTTTCATTTTTAGAAAATGACAAGCCTTATATGGGACATGGAGTACTTAGAACAACTGCAAGAAGGTCCAGAAGTCTCAAACTGGGTGGCAGCGAGGCTCAATGGGAACACAGTGTGGTCTCAGTATAAGGATAAGAATTCAAGAAATGAGAAGAACAAAGAAGCCAGAAACAGACAGACCGGCAAGTACTTGGCTTTTTTTTTTTTTTTTGGTACCAGGGATTGAACTCGGGTCCTTGCGCTTGCGAGGCAGGCGGCAGAACCACTGAGCTAAATCCCCAGCCCTAGGGAAAGATTTTGAATGGATTCAGGACATGGTCGAGGTAGCCACAGAGGCACAACTAAAGACGCAAGAGAGGACTTGCAGAATTTGCTCAGAAAGTGGCAGCAATGAGGGGCTAAGTGTGTTCGAAGCGAGGGGGAGGATCTTGAGGGAGGATTCATGGTGATGTGTCTTTTTCTGTTGTACATTTTTAAAAACTGAAACATTCGCTGCATTTTGGATCACACCTCATACATGAGAGATTTATTATGGGAAGCAGCTCATGCATTATGGAGGCTGAAGGTCTCACCATCTGCCACCTGCAGCTGGGGTCCTGGAGCACGCGCAGGCGCCACAGCTCAGCAGTCAGAAGAGCTGAGTAGGAGCTGTATGAGTCTCGGACCCTGAAGTCCAAGGGAAGAAAGGACGGACCCCCAAGTTTACCCTCTCCCCTTCAGCAGACTGGGCAAGTACCGCCCACAGTGGCAAGGGCAAGCCTTCACTTGGTCTCCCCAGAAACACACAGGCACACCCAGAGACGACACCTCCCCAGCCAGCTGGGCCTCCCCAGCCCAGTCACAGTGACATGAAACTAACTATCACAGTGGCAAAAAACTGGGACAAATACCTCCCAAATGAAGATATCAAATAAGCCAATACACCCATAGAAGATACTCATTACCTTGTTTTTTTTGAGACAGGATCTTGCTTTGTAGCCCAGGCTGGCCTTGAACTCACAGTGATCTTCCTGCCTCGGACTCCTGAGTGCTGCATTACAGGCATGTGCCTCCACACCCGGCAATAACTTACATTTAAATAGACTGGGAGTATCAGGTGTTGGAAAGGATGTGGAGCTGCTGGAGGCCTCACACTCCTCAAGGTGAGTTAAAATAGTAGAACCACTTTGGAAAACCATCGGACAGCTAGGTACACTATTGTGCCCTTTTAATCCCAGTTGTTCCAAAGGCTGAGGCAGGAGGATCGCAAGTTTGAGCCCAGCCTGGGCAACTTAGTGAGACTCTGTCTCAAAATGAACTAAAAGGGCTGAGTGTGTAGCTCAGTGGCAGACCACTTACCTAGAGTGTGTGAGGCCCTGGGTTGAATTGCAAGTACTGCAAGAAATATAAGTAAAATAAGCCAGAAGGGATAGTGCACCCTTGTAAACCCAGCACAATGGGAGGCTGAGGCAGAAGGATCTCAGTTCAAGCCCAGCCTGGGTAACTTAGCAACTTAGTGAGACTTTGTTTCAAAATAAAAATTTACAAAAGGCTGGGGATGTGACTCAGTGGGAAGGCCTTGGACTCAATCCACAGCACATGGGGGGAGAAGAATCTGATTAGAAAGTACCCACTTAGCATGTGACCCAGCAATTCCACTCCTAAGTATTTACCCAGGTCAATACAATAAAGTGTACCTTCAAAGGTTATACATGAGGGGCCGGGGATTTAGCTCAGTGGTGCCGCCTGCCTTGCAGGCAAAAGGTCCTGAGTTCCATCACTGATACCAAAATGAAACAAAAAAGGGGACAGTCCTTGCAACACAACCTGGAAACGTTGGAAATACAAATTTAAAAAAACCAAACCCAGATGCAGAGCATATATCACACACAAAAAAACAGCTGAAATGGACTACAGGCTTAAATATAAAATGCAAAACTGAAACAAGCAGAGGAAAACAGGAAATCTATGTGGCCTTGGATTAGATTAAGAGTTTTTAGTTGCAACACTAAAATCATGATCCGTGAAAGGGAAAATTGAGTTGGACTTTAATAAAATTTAAAACTTTTGCTGGGGTCAAGAGGGCTGGGGATTTAGCTCAATGGCACTGTGCCTGCCTCACAAGCGCAAGGTCCTGAGTTCGATCCCTGGTACCACAAAAAAAAAAAAAAAACAACGCAGGAATCAGTCATAAACTTGGAGGAAAAAAATTTCTGAGACAGGGTCTTGCTATGCTGCCCAGCCTGGTCTCCAATTTCGGGGTTCAAGCAATTCTCCTGCCTCTGCCTCCCAAGTATCTGGGACTACTGGTACATGAAACCACCCCTAGCTTGGAGAAAATATTTAAATCAAATATCTGATAAAGAGTTTGTATCCCAAGCCAGGCGTAGTGACTCACACCTGTAATCCCAGCCTGCTGGGAGGCTGAGGCAGGACAATTGAAAGTTCGAGCTCACCGTGGGCATCTTAATAAGACTATGTGTCGAAATAAAATAAATAAAAATAATAAAATGGCTTGGGATACAGCTCAGAGGTAAGGCTCTGGGTTATTCCCAGTACTGCAAAACAAACAAATAAACAAACAAAACTTTCTTTTAGAAAGCAAGCATAAGGAGCCAGGGATGTAGCTCAGTGGTTCCGCTGCCTGCCTTGCAAGCGTTAAGGACCCAAGTTCAATCCCCAGTACCAAAAAAAAAAAAAAAAAGAAAGAAAGAAAGCAAAAGATCTAAACAGACCTTCATCAAACAGTGGTTCTGCCGCCTGCCTCGCAAGCGTTAAGGACCCAAGTTCAATCCCCGATACCAAAAAAAAAAAAAAATCATTCTTTTATAAAAGTGTAA